GAGGGCGGCTCCGGGAAGGCACCGTGCCTGCTCCAGCCCCCGGGCCAGCAGCCGGTGCCGGGCTGGAGGCCGTTCAGCCCCTCACAGGCGTCCTGCAAGCTGCCCCGTGGCGACCTGAGGGAGACCGATGCTGGCAGCTGCGCCGAAGCCGTTGGGGAGGAGGAGGAGGAGCAGGAGGATGAGGATGACGATGAAGATGAAGGCGTGGAGTTCGGGACGCTGTCTAATAAATTTTCTTCTAGGAAATATTATCACAAAACCACAGCAAGCTTCCAGAATTTAAAGCTTCAAGAAGAGGGAGAGGAAGAACCAGAAAGCAAACCTCGACGTGGCCCTAAGAACACCCCGTACTGGTACTTCTTAAAATGCAAGGCCCTCATCAAAGAAGACAAGGTTTGTTCCCAGCTCCTCGCGTATTTGATTTTTAATAACGTTGATGAAAGACACACCTCTGCAACTCTGTCCCATCTGTATCATCCTATCACTTAGCATCTTTACGGAGAGAAGTAAAATACGAAGTAACAAGTGCTAGGATGAGAGGAAATGGCCTCAAGCTGTGTCAGGGGAGGGTTAGATTGGATATTAGGAAAAGGGGAGGATTAGATTGGGTATTAGGAGGAATTTCTTCATGTAAAGAGTGGTCAAGCATTGGAACAGGCTGCCCAGAGAGGTGATGGAGTCACCATCCCTGGAAGGGTTCAAAAAATGGGCAGACGTGGCACTTTGGGACATGGTTTAGTGGGCATGGGGGTGTTCGGTTGATGGTCGGACTGATGATCTTAGAGATCCTTTCCAATCTTAGAGATCCTTTCCAATCTCAGTGATTCTTAGCTTTTACCTTCATTAAAAAATAATCCAGCCACCAAGCCAGGAAACATGAAATTATTACTCTTCCCTTAATTGGTTTAGTGGTGGACTTGGTAATGTTAGGTTAATGGTTGGACTGGATGATCTGAAAGGTCTTTCCCAACCTAAACAGTTCCATGATTCTAAGAATTTGTGAGGAATCCCGTGTCCTGTAGGACCTTCTACCATAACCTGCCCACAGCTGCGTATATTAACATCCATTGTAATTGATCCTGTTGCTGCCTCATCGTGGATTTTCCTCTTCCCTGTAGCTGGCAGAGGCTCTGGAGCTGTTTGAGGTGCAGATGCTGAAGGAATTTTTTTGCAGCCGGAAGAAAGCAATTACACTGTTCTAATTGGCGGCTGCGGCAGGGTTGGCTACGTGAAAAAGGCATTCCGGCTCTACAATGATGTAGGTTTACATTCTCTCCTCTCCCAAACTTTCATCAGGTTTTCTAAGCTAAAACTGTTCCAAGCATTTGGTCATGTTACTTTGTCTCCAAAATGCCTTTGAGTTAGTGTTTGCATCATCTTAGCCTGAAACTCTTAAAAACACGTTACAAAATCCTAGAAGTCCTTTCCTAAAAAGCCAGTTCCAATTCTTCTTCTCTTGCCTCAGATGAAAAAACGAGGCTTAACTCCCACCGAGGCCACTTACACAGCCCTGTTCAATGCTTGTGCCGAATCGCCGTGGAAAGACTCGGGCCTGCAGAGCGCTCTCAAATTACGGCAGCAGCTAAAGAGCAAAAACGAAGAGCTGAACCTGATCACTTACCACGCGCTGCTGAAGGTCTGCGCCTTGTGCTCAGACCTCCGGATGTGCTTTGATGTACTGAAGGTAAATAAGTGACTTTTCTCATATTAAGTGTAGTCTGCTCTGGTTAAAGCTCCTGCAAGTTGCCATATTGCACAGACTGTTTAAATTTCATTTTCAGCAGGGGTAATTACAGATTATGCGTTTGTATTTCATTGATACTTGGTCTCATACAATGAAATCGTCTTGGTATGTACCGACCATTAAGTTTAAGTACACAAAAAGAGGCAGCCTTAAACAGAGGTTGGCTTTAAAACTCTGGGCAGTTGTGTTTTGTGGGGTTCACACCTACTGTGTCTGTCTCCATCCCCTATTTTGAAGACCCATATACTGATACCTCAGTCCTTTTAAAGCTCTTACAGCAGCTCTTCTCAGAAGGGCCAGTCTGGGAGCAGCTAAGAGGATTGCTGTTCCTGCCCTCGAGTTCCCTGTAGCTCCCATCAGGGAGAAGCCGGGATCTATGCAGGCATTTCAGGGCTTTTTTTCTCTTGGAGTGATCATTCTGCTTGCAGCACCGGGAGTTTGCCCTATGCTTTGTTGCTGCTGTATGCCCAGAAGACAACAGCCGTATTTGAGCTTCACAGCCAGCTGGGACGGACTGGGTAACTGGGAAGTTTAATGCTCTCTCTGCTCTTTTAGGAAATTGTGCATAAGGGCCACGTTCTCACAGCCGAGACCTTCAGCTTCCTTCTCATGAGCTGCATAAAGGACAGCGAAAATGGTTTCCGATACGCCTTACAGGTTTGTTTTCATGCTTTAAGTGGGGAGGAAAAAGTACTCCTGTATTGTAACTCATCACTTGAACACACGGAAGGCAGCAGGTTGCTCAGAGCTGATGAAATAGGAGGAGTTCAGCTCCTCCTAAGAGAAGTTCTGCAAACTAGACCTCCACGAGGAGGTCTCGTACACCGGTGGACCACCCTGGATGATCTTGCAGGACTGTACTAGCTCGAGGTGGCTGTTCACTGTCCAGTGGCATCTCACCTCATCGTGCTGTAAACCTGCTCCTTTTCTGCAAGTAGATACCATAACAGTGGGCACAGTAGATATGCTTACAATCTGCTAGAAATGCTCCTGTTATTTAATATCATGTACACCTGGTGTTCATCTTCCCCTTTTCAGGTTTGGAAACAAATGACTGAGCTTGGAATAAAGGCCAATAGCCACACTTACAATTTGATGCTGCGTGCTGCGAGAGACTGTGGAATAGGCAATCCAGTTGTGGCTTCTGAACTCCTGCTCCAACCCGCCCATGAGAACTCATCTCAGCTAAGGCTTGCACCCGGCAGGCAGAAGGAAAAGGTGAAAAATCAGAAGAAGAAGGGATCGGAGAGTGCAGCTGCTGTCCAGCTGGATGTGGAAGCTATGGAAAAGCAATTATTTTGGGAGAGTTCAGTGCAGCCTGAAGAACTGATCCAGCAACAAAATAAAGATGTGAATCAGGCTGAAACAGAACCAGCTGCTCTCAAGAGCCCCAGCGTAGCTCATGGCAGGACAGGAGCGTTGATGAGGAGAGGCCAGAACAAGATGGAGCAGGAACAAGCATGCCTAAGCCAGAAGCAGCGTTTCTGCAACCTGCCCAACTTGCTGGATTCCAGGATGCCTGATGCAGCCGTGGTTTCCTTGGGGACAGCGGCCACACCGTCCGATAGACTGGCTTTGATGGGGGACGTGGAAGGATTCTTGAGTAAAATGAAAGAGGACAATGCAAAACCCAACATTAAAACCTTTACATTACTGGCTGAGCTTGTGGAACCCCAAAGCCCCTCAGAGTCCTCTTTGCTGGCACTCCTAGATGAGCATAAAGTGAAAGTAGATGTGACCTTCTTTAACACTTTAATAAGGAAGAAAAGTAAACAGGGAGACCTGGAAGGAGCAAAGGTGAGGAAAAACTCGGAACCAGCCCTGTCGCCACCTCCTTGTCTCAGGCCTCCAGCATTACCTGTGTTTTGCTGTGAGACCTGTTTCTGTATCCGCAGTAGAAACTGGGAATCTCACACTGTTTTCCACAAACCAGTGCTCAGGTTAATTTCTAAGTAGTTATGGGTTCTGTTCTGGCACCTTCAGCTCTGTCTGGAAAGCTACAGCGAGATTCTTTGGAAACTGATGTCAACATTTGTATCTTGCAGAGCGTGCTGCCAGCTCTAGTGAAGAGGGGACTATCGCCTAACCTCCAGACATTTTGTAACTTGGCAATTGCCTGCCACCGAGAGAAGGATGGACTACAGTTACTCTCAGATTTGAAGGTAATAAACTCTGCTCCTTGGGGTTTGAGCTGCGGGAAGAGGCAAACTGAAGCGTTAATGCTTCTAAAATGACCTGCTGAGGTTTCTGCAGTTAGTGGCTGTGGTCTCACTCCACAAACACGCAGCTCTAGAGTGGGTGCCAGCTCAGGTGGTCTGTCCTGTACCCATGCTGGGATAGGAGAGTGCTCACGGGAAGGGCTGTGCTGGCACTGCAGAAGCTGCTACATGAGTTCTGGAGCGAGAGCCTCGCTCCTTGTGTAAGAAGTGCCCGTATACCTTTTCCTTCTCGAAGTCCTGCACTAGTTGGCAGATAAACCAGCTTAACTGTAGCGTTTGTTGTTTCCAGAAGTCTGGAGTAACTCCCAACAAGTATATCTACAGCACCCTCATTGCTGCCGCTGTGAGGCACCTGGATTACAGTTACCTCACAGAGATCCTGCGAGACATGAGGAATAACCAGGTACCTCCGAATGAAGTTATCATACGCCAGCTGGAGTTCGCAGCACAGTACCCTCCCAAATTTGACAGGGTAAGTAGCCACGCCTGGTCAGAGTGCGAAGGCATCACAGAGGACACTGACAAGGAGGGGAAACGTAGATGTCTGCCTAAGCCTTTTGCCTTTGGCTTTGCCTGATCTGGCTGACAGTTACCTGACAGCCGTTTCTTTACTAGCAGCTTGTAGCTATTGCATAGTGGTATTGAAGTGAGCTCTCTTCTAATAGAAACTTGTTTTGTTGGATTTCTGTTTGCAGTATAAATCAAAGAACCCATACCTGGAGAAAATTGATGGTTTCCGCGGCTACTATTATCGGTGGTTAAAGGTAATGGCAGGAGAGGAGACCCCTCACCCCTGGGAAAAATACAGAACAGCGAAACGTGGGGTGGATGACAATAAAGGAGAGGCTGCACAGGAGCAGCCAGCGCAGAAGTAGCAGCGAGCAGGACGCTGAAGTCTGCATCTTCCTGGTGCTGGAAGAACTTGGAACTTGCTCCCTTAAACCGTCTTATAGTAAAGCTGCTTCGTATTTCCACAAACCCCAGTTCTTGCGATAACTACATAATAAAATATTTGTCCTTTGTTTTAAGGAGAAGCAAATACATTTTTGGGGACTTTCCTTAAACTGCAGAGGAGTAGATAGGCTGTAGTTTAACAAACCCTGTGCTAAACAAGGGAGAAGCAAAATCAGATTTAACAGTGGTTTAGCTCAGTACTAGTTTTGTCTCTTTCCTGTGTTCTGCGTGTTATCTGGGCACTTAACGCGTGACCTGTAAGTCTCTGTAAGACTTTCCTGAATGGATCTATGTGCTAATTCCAGGTTACAAACCTTAGCAGAGAGTTCCAGTGAAACTTAGCTTCCTTCTACACAAGATCAGGGAAGAGCTTAAATCATGACTGGAGTTTTGAGAACTGTATTATTTCTTTTCAGCCCTTTAAATTCAGTTATTTGAGAAAGAGGGGGAAAAGCTGCTTAAAAAACAACCCACATTTAGAACAGCTCACAGTGTGCAGAGCAACCTTCAAACCAGCCAACCAAAACACAGAAGAGGGGCGTAGAAATGTTTTGCCAGAAGATCGCACCACTCTCTCAAGAAGGCAGACTTTATTTTAAGATAAATGGCTACACAAAAACCTACTCCAAAACACCCACCATTGTATATATGATCCAGATGAACACGCTGCTGGTTTAATTGCTCTACAGAAACACCCAATCACGCAGAAGGTGGCTATAATTGCACTCATAGTCCATTGTGTAGGATAGTATCCCTCAGAGTTCAACAAGTAGTCTTATGGCTAAAGGCTTCACCCAGAACAGCCTCTGCATCCACAGTGAGTGCATTCAATGATTCTCCCCTGGAAAAGAAACACGAGGAGAGTATTTCAGCCAAGCTACAGTGAGCAGACAGACCAGCAGGCTCGGGCCTCAAGGCAGAGAATGGGTCTGTGTGGGAAGGGTTTCTGCCATCTGGTCTTCTGCTGTTTCCCATACTTTCATGACTTTAAACGACTGTGTGCCAAAGCTGACAGCAACTTTAGAACCAACTAGATACCAACTCTACCAGCAAAGATAGAAAATGTTAGAACTAGAGGAAATTACCCGAAAAAACAGCACTACCTGCTCTGCTGTCCCTGACCTGGGAGGAGGTAGACCGGGTACTGCAAGGGTGCAGACAAGCAGAGGAACAAGCTGAAAACCCTTACCACTTCCAGCTTGCTTTTGGGAACCCTGCAGATGCAGTTGGTTCCGAAGTTGGTGTCCCGCGTCTGGATGCACCGCAGGCAGCAGAGGTTCTCGTAACCCTGTTTCTTCCACTTTGCAATCAGGTTTTTGTCGGCGTATCCTTCCTTGATGCAATACTCGTAGAGCTCTGTAGAGGAGCAGGCACCATCACAAGTAGCTCCCGGGAAGCATTAGAAGACTCGCTATCAGGAATTACTCTAGCTGTACTGACGAGCAGGCAAAGCCAGGCAGCCGCCAGCCCTCCCTCCATCTTCCCTCCCCAGAAACCTGATCCTTCCCACCAACGCCCCAATTCAAGCACATCTGCAGGCGGACATCTTACTCCGTTCTGTTTTTCTCTGCCTAGGGTAAAGCGTTTGCATTCCTCACCTCTGCTGATAGCTTTTCTTTTATAGAAGAGATCAAAGATGTAACGTGTTTTCTGGTGATGAATTCTGAAGATAGGCCAGAGGGATTCCACTTTCCTCTTCCCTTCGTGAGGCTCAGTCTCCGCTGGGAGGGAACACAAACACCAGGTTTCAGCTGACTGTTTCAGGCTGCCAACTTATTTCCTTAGTCAGTTTGCAACAAACTGTTCCGAGAATGTTCATAACTTTAATACATTACAGAGATAAGACCAAGCTTAATGGGAGAAGATTCAAATGAAAGGGACCTGACCTGGAACAGTTCCTTTAGGAAGTGAAAATAAAAAAAAAAAAAAGACAGATGATGGGGATGACGTGACCAGCACTGGGATGGCAGGTGACTTCATGGCTGCCCTGGCTCGTCAGACCAGAGCAACAGCATGGACGAGAACTCCCAGTCCCTACATGCACACCAGCAAGCTTCAGCTGGGGCTCAACACAGGTGTGCCCTAAAACAACCATACACTGAACCTCTGTGCTCTGTAACATGGGGACGCATGGAGAAAAGCTACCAGTGCTGACCCAGTCTCAGTCTGCAGCATCACTGAGGTGGAGATATGAGGGGGAAAAAAGCCCCAAAAGGTCGATCTCTATTCACAGGGGAAACTGTGCTTCCTGAAGCAGTTAAGGACAAGCTTGTTTCAGGGACACACCCCTGAGAACACCCAGCTCTGCCGCTTACCTTCTCTCATCTTCTGATCCAGCTCATCCAGCGTTGGCTCAATCAGCTCCCAGCCATCCGGGGGAGGCTTCCTGCTCCTCTTCACTTTGGGCATCACCTCGGAAACAAGGAAGGCGACAGGCGAGGGAACGAGGGTTTGCCTGCACTCGAATGTTTGGGTGCTTCAAAGTCCTGAGAACCACTGGAAACAACGAAAGGAAAACAATTGTTAGATTTCTCGTGAGGTTTCTGTGCCCCTTTGCCATTTTCCCCTTCGATGATAAAAACGAGCTTCACGAAGCTCGTGAAAGAGGTAAAACCTCGCCGCATGCGGCCCCTGGGGTGAGCGCTGCACCCGCCCCACCCCAATAAATCATTTTTTCTCCTCAGCGAAGTGAGCCG